CCCGCAGGGACAGGGGGCTGTTTTCTACTTTAAACTATTTACTAGGCTGGGACTGGCCATCAATATTTACAAATGGGTCCTGGTACAAAAAAGGGTGAGAACCACTGATCTAGTCCAACCCCCTGCTTAAAGCAGGACCATCCCCACCTATATGATCCCAGTCAAGGCTTTGTCTAACCAGGTCTTAAAAATCTCTAGGGATAAAGATTTCACCACCTCTCTGGGTAGTCTGTTCCAATGCTTTACTACCCTCCTGGTGAGAAAGTTTTTCCTAGTATCTAACCCATAGGCAACACATGGTAGGGGGGTATGGAGAGCCACATGCCCCCCTGAGATTAGCCACCACTGGCTTCTGCCGGCAGTTGCTGCCCCCCACCCCCCAGCCAACACAGCCTCTGGCATCTGCAGGTGGTCCCCGCTTGCCCCCCCTGCCACCAGCAGCTGCAGACAGTCCCCACTGCTGGCAGCTGCGAGCAGTCCCCGCTCACTGCCACCAACGCCAGCATCTGCAGGTGGTTCCCGCTTGGTGCCTGCCACCCCTCCACACCCCCGACACCGGCGCTGGGTGTCTGTGGGCAGTTCCTTACAAATGGTGCCACCCCAGTCTTGGGACGCACCAGTTGTTGATGGTCTAACTTAAACTTCCTTTGCTGCAACTTGAGACCATTGTTCCTTGTTCTGTCATCTGCCACCACTGAGAACAGTCTAGCTCTATCATCTTTGGAACCATCTTTTAGGTTGTTGAAGGCTGCTATTAAATCCCCCCTCAGTCTTCTCTTCTCCAGACTAGATAAGCTCAGATCCCTCAGTCTCTCCTTATAATCATAAGTAATGTTCCCCAGCCCTCTAACCATTTCCATAGCCCTCTATTGGACTCTCTCCAATTTGTCCATATTCTTTCTGTACTGGGGGGCCCAAAGTCAGATGGGTTCAATTATCTGCCACTAGGTTCTGGAAGCTAAACACTTGACACCAAAGGTAGCTTAAATGAACATGCTACAAGTATAAAATATAAAAATATTTTCAGAACAAAATGGTGAAACAGAATGAAAAACTAATGGCACATGAGTGTTAACAAGTTTCTGTTAATATTCACATGGTGGTTCCTTGCATTACCTATTTGCTGTGTCTGATCTTGCACGCAGTAGATTGATCTACTGGCATTTAAAGGTGACTGCTTAGCTTAATACTTCAACAATTTCAATGATTCTCTCTAGTGTTGTTAGCCTCCTACTCAGTACCTTGAGTTCTGCTTTCAGCCTTTAATCTTTGCAAAGATGGAGCACAAGAAGATTGAGTTCTACACATAAAACAGCATGAGAGAGAGAGAAAGGGGGAGCAGTGAATGGTCTGCTTTGCCCTAAAGCTCATTGATCTGTACATGGTCACACTTTTGATGACGAAGTTAATTCAATTACTCTGAAGGACGTATTTTGCTAGCAGAAAGTAAATCACAAGAGGTAGTGAAAACGTAATGCAGAACTAAGGCAAATGTGTTTTAGACATGTCTCAAGAATGGGCTTACACTAAAATTGTAGGTATAAAGAATTTGCAGATCTGTTTCCAGATTACAACCACTGTCCTAATGGCTAGGAATGGACCCATGCTCTTTCAAAGCCAGGCAATGATGCTACCCAAAAGCAAGAGGGCAACTCATCTTGCCTCTGCCTCATGTTAAGTGACTTAAGGCCCCTCTGAATATTCATGTAAAGGCATGAGAGGATATGATGCACAATCTACATATGCATAGCAGGAGGCACTGACCTGGCTGCCAGCCTCCTCAGCTGCAGGGCCTGTAGCTACAGCAGTGGGTGGTGCAACCCTGCAGCTGGAAGCCCAGTCACCTGATGGGGCTCCCAGCCACAGGGGAGCACCTGGCTATGTGGCCAATTAAAGGCATGATAAGAATAAGCCACAGTTATTACACAATTTTTGTGGAATAACTTTGTGGCTTATTCCTGATTTTGTCATGCCATTAATTGATTGGACATCTGGCTGGGTCACAACTTAAGCTGTGATTAACTGGTTAATCATGCTTTAAGTGTAACATGCAGATGAGGTATCATTTCCCAAGTGACTGTGACCCACAGAGCTAAAAACCAAAATTCTAAATCAAACCTGGGATGTGGCAAGACACCAACAACAATGGTCAGTCTCAACCTGGAATGATTTGGAGGACTGTATTAAAATGGCCACTACTGATACTGTCTAAAATCCTACATGTTACAAAGACATCCAAGGCTCTTGGTATAGTGCCAAAATATGCTAAGAGCTTTATACACAATAAGGTATGTTCCCTGCCACAATGAACTTCCATGCTCAACAGATAATGTGTAGACAAGGAAAGTATATACCACACTCCAGGTCTTCACCAGTAAGCAAAATTCTGGCTCAGCTTCTTTGGGAAAAAGGCTTGGCATCCATCGCTATGGACCAAAAAGGAGTCTTGCTCCTGGGCAACCTCATTCTCCCCAGCGAAATTGGATCAACTGTTAGTATCTCTGCCTAGACAGCATTCAGTATGAAGGGAGCACACAGAATGCTTCTTAACCCTTTGAAAGTGCAGAGAAATGGCTTTCATGTTATCCCCAGTGAATTCAATAATTTAAAAGCCAAAGAATGCTCATAAAAGTCACAGCAGTCATGTGATAAAAAAGCAATTTACTCACAGTACCCAGGAACTGTATGTGTAAATACCCTGGCAATTAGTGAGTTCACATTTCCATCCCTTAAAAACACCACTGCATTTCCATTAAGCACCTTTTAATCCCCAAAGTACAGGAATAACTTAACCTGCTGCTTTAATGATACCATCTCAAGGATAAACACAGAAGTTAAAAGATTACACCAATGCTACATAACCACTCACACAATTTAAACTGTAGGGGAAGACTGTCTAAACGGAACATAACTAACCAAGTAGGAATTGGGTTTAATCCCTAACTAGTGAGAAAAATCTCAACCTGGAATCAGTGTTACAATGAAACGTACTAGAAATTTGGGAAGACATAAAAATTATAATGGCTGGTAAAAGCTATGTGTAAAACTATCCTACAAAGACTTCTATAGTCAAAAATCCTAAAGAAGGCAACTTTAAATAAGTTAAAGTGATTCTGAAACTTCTCTAGAAAGGGGTTAGCTAGACTCTTCCATTTAATAAACTGAAGTTTAACATCATAGATATCTGTATTCAATCACATTTTCTCTGTCAGAATGAAATCTCTTGTTTTATTATAGGAAAGAACAAGTTCTCTCACAGGAAATCTTTGATGAAAATGAATTCTTCTCTTCTATAAAACTAGCCCAATGTCTTTTCTATAGCAGCTAATTTTTGACACTTTGATCCACTTCACATTTCTATCCTTTGAAGGATACCTAGAACAGGAAATAATTTATAACACCATTCACCAACAGGGTACATTACAATAAGACAAATTGATATGCTGCTCTTTTTATTGATCCATGAAGCTGGTTATTATTCAGGGTAACATTAATAGAAATGTCACATTACTTTGAGAGAAAAACCTATTTCACAATGTTTATACTAAAACCATTTGGCAATGAACATGCTAACTTATGCTGCTGCCACCTGTGCTGGTATTTAAAAGTCAGAGATTTTGAAGATGCAGAACTCAAGAAATAATCTTTAAAAACAATTGCTAAATTTCCAAAGAGTCCTATTTTGAGCCATATTTATAATAAGCAGAGGGAAGCCAGTATCTGAAATGGTTTATGCCTGCCATTGCACATTAGTTTGTAATCACAGGAATGTTTATAAGTATGAGGCAACCGCATTTTTTAAATTACATTGAGAACTTTGTTTTGGGGGAGTATGGCAGAGGAACATAACATTCAGAAACTTTGCAAAAACAGGACAAGGTTTAGGTTCTGTTGGAAGTACAAAGCATCATCCTTCACCAGAATCTCTTTTTATCTGTGCTGACTTGTTTTAAAAATGGGCATGCAACAGCATTTTTAGAAAACCCTCCTGAAATTAAGAATTGGATATGTGTGCTCTTACAATGCAATTATACTTCTGAACTACTCACAGCAAAAGTACTAAGCCAAAAGAGCCTCAGACCCGTATTGATTACAAGCACCAGTCAACATTCACTCACCCCTGAAACTGTTAGAGAATCAGAAAGAAAAAAGATGGAAAAAACCTGTCACCAACTAGTCCTATATCCACTACTAAGGTTGCATGGAGATTTTCATATAAACCTTGCCCTGTCTACACCCTTTCCAGTATAAGAAGCTGATCTGAGTATTTTTATGCTCACCTACAGTACCTCACTATGCCTGTAATATTAGAGAGAGGAGTTTTTAGCCTGTCCAATGCTGGAAGCCCAATATTGATGATGGGAAATCGTGTGTGTTGCATTTCAAGATAAATGTTAGAAACCACTTTTTTTCTCATTGAGCAGAGACCAGTATTTAAATAAGGCAGGGCTAACTGGACACCTGCAACTCAAATGTAGGGGTTCATGTAAGCCCCATGGGCTCCCAGCTGGCCACCACCCATCTGGCTCTGGCTGCTTGCAGGGAGACGGTCTAGGCTTCCCTTCCTTCCCTCAGATTTCCCTTCCTGCTCCTGCATCAGGGGCAGCATAGAAACAGCGCAGGATGAGCTGAGGTGGGGGCACCCAGACACAGTGCAGCAGTGGTGGGGGGGCAATGCCCACATGCGTGGTGTAACATCCACCCATGAGTGCACTGGAGTACATTGGGAGGTGGGGGGGGAAGTGGAGGGGTAGCAGGCAGGGAGCACCACTTTCAGACACCAAGAGGAGTTAAGCCAGGAGAAAGTTTGAAGACATTAAGTCTCCTGGAAGCAATTTACCCCTGGTTGTTCCCTGGTTATTCTTCTCCCAGAGTGGCCATTTTTGCTGTGGGAGAAAGAACTAAAAAGACTTCCCACTTGTGTTTTCTACTAAGAGAATGGCAATTCTCCTGGTGGAAACAAAATCTGTATATGGCCCTGGTCACTACAGATGCATTACCTGTTTATAGTTATCAGGTTGTCTAATGAGATCCGTTTCTGTGACAGAAAAATGTCCAATGGTCTGGTCCATATGAGAGCCATTAGTGTAGAAATGAATCTGGAATAAACAAAATGAACACACACAAATAAGTACAGATGGACCAAAATTATAATTAGACCATGACAGAAAAACAAAGGTATTTGAAAGTTGTTTGGTGGCCATTATAAAATAAACTGTTGGTCACAGTTCAATTCCCAACAGAAAGATGAATATATAACTGTCATTCACTACTAAATTGGCCCTTCTTATGACAGACTCCAAAAAATCAAAACTAACACGTAAACAGCCTGCTTGCTTATACAGTGGTCAGTCCTGCAAACCACAGTTAGCAGAGTGACAAGCAAATATTTGATCGGTTTCTGCCTGGTATAAATCAAAAGCTTTCACTTTCCTAGGTCCATTACCTCACCCCATCACAGAATTCATGTTAAATATTTATAAGGCATTAAAAAATTATGACACATTTACATGCATACCTAAAGTGATACCCACTGTATCGTTCCTGCTCTATTTCCCCGAATGCAAGAAACGCTACTCAGCTATAGTAAATCTTTCTACTCCTGAAGTTTATTTTTGGTTAGCTCTTTAACGATTTTGCCAGATACTTGTCCCAGCTGTGTTGGTGATGTTATCATCAATTCTTGAGGAAAAACTTCCCAAGTTAGTCAAGGGAACAATAAAAAGCAATTCTTTCTATTCAATACCAATCCCTTTGTTATAGTAATAACTGAAGCTGTCAGACAAAAAACTAGTGCACATTTGTCATGAAATCTTTCATATTTCTCTAATATTTCTTCCCAGATGACAGGAAAATATTTGTTGCTTTTCGAACTTTGCTGTAATATTAACATTATCATGCATTCCAACACTGCAAAATCTTTTAAAGTTAATGGATAATGAATAATTATCACCTAGCACTGAACTTAACAAGATTATGGAATTCCTTCCCTGAAATTCTTCTGGTGGCAATCAGCTAGTACATACTTAGAACTGGAATGAATTTTTTCTCACGCACATTTTCCTCCCTCTAAACCATGCTGCTGCTTCAGCCCTTTACTATTCAACTCCAGACTCTCCTCCACTCCAAGGTATTACAGCTCCTGAATCTTTCAGCATCCTGGAGCTAGGGCTCAAATATGAGTCCTTCTAAGTCCCAAACTGCGTTGCATGTATCTTAGGGAAATATCAAAATCTGGGACTTCAAGGCATCTGATAGAGACAGGGTATTTTCTTGGACTAGACCTAAAATCGACACCATCTTAGTTGCAAGTCTTTCCCCTGTCATAAAAGTTTTACCTTCAGGTAGTTTTCATTAGTTCTTTGAAAACCTCTGCAATGTCCATACAGGAAACACCTGCAGATGCTGCACTCATTTGCCAAAAAAAAAATTTTGCTGTCACTAATGGCAAAACAAACCATTTAAACCTTTCAAGGTGAAGATGCCATGTGGCTGGTAGTAAATGTAAAATACAGAATCATTAGCCTCCTTTTTAATACTATAACCACAATACAATCAAGAATTAGGCCTAAAAGCAGAAAGAATTGCAGGGAAGAAAAACAAGGTCTTAGAGGGTTCAATGTCTGTAAACTACTAAGGGAAAAAACTGGACTGAGGGCAGGAGGAAGCAGCTCCTTTTACAACCTTGCACCAATGCTCTTCCATGAGATAGCAATATACACAGCCCCTAGGAGCCTTCCTTTGCAGAAAGCCCCAGCCTCTTCTCTGAAGATCAGGGAAACCTGTACTGACAGGAATAACCAAAGCAAAGGGATCCAGGGTCCTCTCTGCCAGAGGCCAGGCCCAATGCTTCAATAGAAGATATAAGCATTCCACAAAATGCAGTTACAGAATTACCTATCCACAAGGAACTTTTTATCCTAAATCCCATGAACTAGAAGCCGGCTGTGCTCTGAACCATTAAGGTACACAAACCTTCCAAATTCCTTTTTCTTAAAAAAAAAATTACTACTATAACTAGATAGTCTTGTGGTCTGGGCTGTGTATCCTTTTTCAAATCCTGCCAAGTGTCTTTGGTATAGATCTGTACAGGCTAATTATTCAGTGTGAGAAAAAAATATTTCTTTTTATCACCATTAAAATGATTCAAGGTCATAAAAATAATTCAAGGTTTACAAAAATCTGCCTGACACTAAGAGACTTAGGGCCTATCCACGCATAGAATTATTCATGCTATTCTTAAATAACTGTGGGTGAATATTCTTATTCTAGATTAAAAGTGCCAAAGTGGTTTAAGATGAACAGGAATGTTCTTATTTCAAAATAAGAACATGAAAATTTATTTGGATTATGATAGGATCTGAATTTAAAGTGTATTACCTATTCCTGAATAACTTCAACTACGGAGAAAGCTCTAAACAAGCTTTTTAGTATGTTCAAGGAAATGGTAAGAAAAGGTTTAAAAACGTTCTACAAATTCATAAATGGAGAGAAAGAATTCTGCTGTATTGAACAACCCTCTGCTATCATCCAACAACACAAAGCTGATGTTAGATAAATGCAGGCTACAAAAAATCCAAGAATAATTAACTATGGACAGAAGTAACAGAGGATTGTGGTAGATTTGTCATTATTTGGAATCTTTACATCAAGAAAGGATGCATCTTTGTAGAAGGGCTGCCCTAGATCAACCAGAAGTTATTAGGACTGATGAAGGAATTATCTGATATCAATTTCAGGCCTATGTTAGGGCCTTGTTACACAGTAATTCTGGGTGGCTCCTGGATTGTCTGCACATTAACATCTGAAATTATCTCTAAGCACTCATTAGCCTGCTCAAAGTTATACCACACCAGGGCAGGATGATCTCTGATCTGTGTTACCCAGCTCATGTTGCACTCAGGTATAGCCTCTCTAGTCAGTCCTTTCAGAAAATAGGTCTTTCCTAGCTTTAAAAAAGCTAAAAATGTAGAATGCCACTACCTGTTCTGTTTCATTCAATGGCCCCTTTTATATATGATAAGATGAACAGATGTTACCATTTTCTGTATCACTTGCTATTTTGTATATTTATCATGTCTCCTCTCAAAGAGAAGCAACCCTAAAAAATTCTCATTCTCTTCATAGCGAAGTTTAAAGTTTATTCCAATGCCACTAAGTACTCTTCTTGTCAACCTCTAACCTCATCCTGCCTGTAGCGTTTATAGACAAACAGTACTGTAGTGCCATGATTCCCACCATTCCAACGTATTTCAGTAATGCCTATTATGTCACAGTCCTGTTCTCCAGCCAGGCATTCTAGATCACCTATGTCTTAACTTTGCATTTTTGTGTACATATAAATACAGTTTTATTTCTTATGCCTATTTTTAAGCCCATAGCCTGATACCTCTTCAATTTTACCTCTGATCTTGACCTGCCCCTGCTTTAGGACAGTTGCAATTTCTGTCCTAAACTTTACTAGATACTAAGGTATCTGGCAATTTCTAAAGGGAAACCATCATGTTTTCCAGGAATTTGAGCAGATTCTGATACTTCTTTGCATATGCTTTCCTGGCACAAAGTATTTCAGTTTCAGAAACAAAGCTATGTATGTTTACAGTATATGGTTCATTCCTATTTTAACAATGTACATACTTCAATCGATATGCTCAACATTTAGGAAAACAATAGTAGTCACATCCCTAAAACCAGAATGATTTTTAAGAGCATGGGGTCTGTTTTAGAGAGCTGAAAACACAGAGATGGTCTTTTAGAACCAGTTTGAGTCACACAAACTGAAACCTGGAAACGTATTACCATCAGTTGGATAAATCAGTGAATCATGAGCAGTGCAAATTTTGCTCTTGATTCAAGATACATATGCTGGTAAGTTAGTAAACAGAGTGACTAAAAGCCATAATTATAATTTTGGGAAGAAAGTCCCCTGAAAATCTGTCAGTATAATCAGAAAACATAAAACTCATTAGCCTTTTGCACATGGTGTTTGTGGCTTTGTACTAGAATAGCAAGAGCTCATATGCAAGTCATATTAGGTCAGCTAGATTTCCAAATGAAATAGCTCAGAAACCTCAATCCTCTGACACATAGCAGCTTAGTTTAAATTCTAAAAAAATATGCTAATGCAACAGTATGGCTAAGATTTCTGCATGCAGAGAAATCAAGGAATATATTCATGATTTATATAGCAGCTACAGATTGTTCCCTTTGTGCACATGTAGCATTTTTATCATATATGTTAATTAGTAAGAATAAATACACATGTGTAATACAGCCTCATTACAGACAAGTCAAAATTTTACCTTTAAAATTCTCTGTCTTTACTACAATTAAATATCAACCAGAATGTTGCACAATATTATTGCCACTCTTAATTCACACTGTTGGGTCTTGATAGTGGCACGTATATAAAATCATAGATGGCTATCTTCTAAATAGCTCAAAGCTTACTCAGATGCAGAAGCATCCTTAATGGGACCCCTGTCCAAACATCAGAGTGCAAAATTTGGTTTACCATCTTCAAAAATGCATACTTCTATTATTAGAGACTTTAGGTATGGATCTGGCTGATTTACCTGTGCAATCCATTTTGCTTTCCCCAGTCAAATCTGGCATATTATAATGAAAAAAGAAAAACTGTTCTGACTTGCACATCAATGAAATAACTGTCTTCCTAAAATCAGGATGCAGAATCTCTGTTGTGGACAGTGCTACACATATGAAAAAAAATCCCAACCTAGCTTTCAGATCCCAATTTTAAGCAGTTTAAAAAAATCTTCTAAAATAAACTACTTCAATCTGGAAGTTGTATACAATCACGGACGGTTATTTTACTAATAGAAATTCACCTTAAACTTTAATTTTGTAATTTCTGCTTGCTACACCCATAATAGTTTTACAATGGTTGGTTTTATAGCTAATGTAGTAAAGCACACTGGCAGTATCATAGCCAATGAGGTTAATCTGAGGCACAATTATTGCTAATTGAAAATCTTCTTTAAAGTCTCCACAGGAAAATCCCAAATTTATTCCCAAATTTAATTACTGTAGGTTTTCATTGATCACACCACCAAACCTGAGCTTGCCTTGTCAGCATGTTTGTTTAATCAATGTCTTTGCTTAATTAATTTCTAATCTGTAACTTAAAACTTCATGTTCATATTCAAGGCCCCAGACTCAAATTGTTTTTGTATCCTCTACTGGGCTCTTTCATTGCCAATGACAGGATGAATCAGTGTTCTGATGCTAGGTTATGAACCCTTTTATCTTCTAACCAGTTCAAATCTAGGAGAACCTCAAATCCAGTACTTGAGGGGAAGAAGAGGTAACAGTTTCATAACATTTCCATATCAACTGAAAACCACTACAAGTAGTGACATTCTTGGTGATTTTAGTAAAAAAGTATGGACTTGAATCAACTACAACAGGAACATTAAACTCACCCAATCCTGCCAGCTAGATGAGGGACTGGGCCCACAGACCAGCCCCACATGCTGGACCCAGCACAGGCACCAGGACCAGTCCAGCAAGAGTGCCACACATATCACACGCCCCAGACCAGCCCCATGTGCTACGTATAGCGCACACCCTGGACCAGCCCTGCATGCAGTGTGCACACCAGCTCCACCCTGTCCACAGCATGTGCCAGCCCAGCTCTATATGCAAGGCCAGGGCCAGCACATGCTGCATGCAGTGTGTAGACCCAAAGACAGCACCATGGGCCAGATTATAGGCCTCTGCAGGCTGGATTTGGCCCATGGGCCCTATCTTTGATACCCCTGAATTATAAGAATGAATCACCATTTACCCTTCCAGGTCAAGTTCAGAGGACATTTCTTGTGGGAGGCACGTAGCAATGCTGTACCTGATCTGTTGTTATATGAAGGGCTTCAGTCCCTAGGATTGGAAATTAGCTATCTTGGTCCAGCAATAAATTAATTACAACACAAAAATGTAGCCACAGGAGAATCTTGAGATTGCAGCAATAGATTTAACAATTCAAACCAAGAAACCATTCTCACTCAAAACCCTCTTACTTGACACAACTTTCTGTTGTAAGCTACCCTTTGGGCTCCAAATTCTCAGGCTTAGTTTTAGCTTCAAGGAGACTTAACTCCATGAAGGCTAAAAATGATTCCATTTCAGTTATTGGATCATGTAAAATAGGTCTTTCATCAGTGAAGACATTTTTTCCCCCTTCCCCTCCTTGGTCATCAATGTCATCAGCTGGCATTTGGGACTCTGGGACTTTCCTTCCACTTTGACAGGCAGTGATATTCCTAGACAGGCATTTACGCATTTCCCCAAAAAACAGAGGCTTGAATGGAAAATGACCTACAACTTCAACTGTGCAGAGGCTACTGCACTGCCATGATCTGAAATGGTGCTAGTTTTGTGAGTTTAATTCCAATCATCACTGCTATCTTAACAAGGACTGCACTGAATTTGGCAATCACTGCAACTCTGTACATGATAGCTGCGCCAATGTTTGTAAACAGCAATGTAACAGATGGTTGGATTTTTCTGCCATATTTCTGAATGTCTGAAAGTAACCTAACCTTTTGTCCTGTCCAAACAGCTCCCATTAAAAGGAATACGAAGAACCAGCTCAGATATATGCTGACACGGGGCTGTCCAATATAGGCAAAGCCACATACCACGTAGGCCACACGCCACAGGGGTGGGTCTGTGGGATCCTGTCCCCTTCTCCACCTGATACGTGGGCCATGACGGTGGTACACAGCCACCCACTTGGTGGCACAAAGCCCCGTTACTTGGTCTATACAGGCAACGCACAGATCCCCAAGTTCCCCTCCCAAGCCTAAACGCATGGGCTGAGCAAGCTGTGCTGGTGGTGCACAGCCCTCCCACTCCGTCACGCAGGCTACACCAGCAGCATGTAGACCCCTCACCACATGGCAGAAGAGGCAGGTGCTGGGGCCCATGCATCACACATTAGCTGGTCACAGGCCACACAGCTCATGGGTCACCAGTTGGACCACCCTGTTCAGATCCATCTTGAGTGAGCCCACCTGGGGATGGTAAATATACAAACCTAGATCCTATTAAAAATTGTAACATTCTGGGCATTAATTTTAAGTGAGTGAAAACAAGTACGTTTATTTTTTAACAAGTCTCCATTTACCTCCCTAATGTGAAAAACCTGGGATACGCCTTATTCATACATCTGAGATTTACTGGTGGAGCCTCAAAAACATAACATAGTTCAATTGCAAGTTAAAAGAATGTTTACCTTATACAAGAGTTTGCATTGCTCCTGAGAATCAACATGCAAACTCCGCCACTGGAACCGCAACTTGCCATTTAACCACTGTAGGTATCTGATATCCACTTCATTTTTCAGGCCAGGCTCTGGTGCTAATTCAGCCATGCCCTTCCAGCTCTTCAAGAGATTATTTCCACACTAAAAGCAGAAGACAGAAACAGAATGGTCTGAATTATCTTCCACATTTTTGAGTCACTAGGCAGTAAATACCATGCAGAATGAACAGGACAAGGACCAGCCAGGTGAAACAAACAGAGGAAAAAAGAGAAGCATAAATGCTAGAGAGGATGTAGAGAAATATGGATCTTTCTGCACATATACTGAAAATGCCCTATGTTAACAGTGCTTTGGAGGCAAATAAATAGAATTTACGAGATAAGTCAGGCTACTCAGAAAACCTTTAGCATTTCTATCAGGTTATAGTCTCATGGGTCCAGCTAAATCCTAATTGTAATGGCATTTCCTTCCTTCTGAATCCTGAATAACCAACTGGTGGTTTTAAGGGAAATCAGACTTTTCCAAGTTTCTTTTTTTTCCCCACCTAAATCAATAGTTATGCTCATTGATTTTTAGAATATTAGGAATGAATCAGATACAGTATCTAAAGATACTACATTGCATACAGATCAACAGAGAAATGCTGTCAAGGTAAGTTTAAAACCAAAGTCAACCAAAAAACATGACCAGACAAAAAGGAATTATATGCATGAGTCCTATCTGAAGGGCTCGCATGACGCTCCCTCGTGGTCTCTAAGGGAGAAGCTTTAACATGATAACCAAAAAAATGATATTTAACTGCATACAGGGAAACATCCAATCCCATGGGATACCACAATGCAGCTAAAGGAGTAAAACTCTCTGGAAGAATCTGATTTTCACTATCTTTATTGGTAGCTTGGGCTACAAGAAAAATAGAAAAAGCAATCAATCTGGAAACAGCACTGCACAGTGCCCACCCTAGACTGCACAGTGCCCACCCTAGACCAGCTGGAGCTGGCACCTGGTCCTGTATGCAGGAGGGAGGGAAGGGCCTGTGGGTCTGATTCAGTTAGTGGGACTGGACCTGTGGATTGGTCCCACACCAAACATCTGGCTCCTGGGGCCAGAGAGATTTGACAACCCTGCTATATGTCTGTAAATGACAAGTAACTTCAACCCTAAACGAAACAAGATGACAGTCGCAACAATTTTGCCACATTTATATAGGTACAGGAGCATGTAGATGTAATAGCTGCATTGTAACAGCTTATCCCAGTATCATTCCATACTTGTATAACTGTCATGCCTGTCCACACTACCAGAGGAAGAGATCACACAAGCCACAGAACCTAAAAAGCAACCAGGTGTCCTATACTACAAGAAACCTGCATATTATCTATAAATACAAAAATATTGGTCTGATTGTCTAGCACAGCACTAGGACTGTGGGTCTTTAACTTGTTCTGTGGCAGAACCTGAGCATACAAACTAGCCACTGGTATTTTTTTGCTAATTTGTTTGTTTTACTGGTAGTACTGAGTTCAGTTCTCCACACATTTTTGCTCAGACAATATTGCCTTTGTGTTAGAAGGGAAAAGCAGTCACCTTGCCTGGATCCCACTTGCCCAGAAATTCATCACAGTCGTCTCTTTTCTAAATAACTATTGGCAGACTCACCTAAACAGAGCTGCAGCATTGGTCCAGGGCACCCTTGCGGCTCAGCTGGTTTTGCCAATATTAATAGAGGCTGCTGAGCTATGAAACTGTGAAGGTTAGTGGTCTCCAAACACGACAATGCAAACAACTAGATACTAATAATTATCTTGGGGAAGGAAGCTACAGTTGTATTAAAATAAATGAAGGAGTTACAACCTCAAAGATATTGTGTGACATACAAGACTCTACTTTCCCTATCACACCAGACATCTTATACTAGATTCTGCTTTTTCTGTCTTTTACAGCAGAAGTCTTAACAAAGTCCCCTGGATTAGAGGTTTCAGAACTACACACATACTGCTCCCATGGGGATTTACCTAAAACAGAATGGTATTATCGTAAATTCAACTGCCTTGCAAGAGCAGTGACAAACACCATGTGGAGCTAATTTTATTGTAGCAATTTTCTTTATTAATATTAAAACAAGAAAGTCCCTGCATTTTTAACAGAATCTGTGTCAATTACTTATTTCATACAAACTGCACAAAATACTTATGTCTGCAATGAAATACTTGGTCTCTCATAAAGTAAACAAGGAAAGGGGGCCTTGAATATTGTATTATGACCTCAATTTCAGTCCTCTGTCTCTACAGTCTAGACCTATTTACAACTTTTCCCAGCTCCAGCCTATGCTTTGAATATTTCCATACATTTATCTAATCTGTTCAGCAATATAGGTATATACTCAATCTCACTTCCGCATGCATTGTGTTGGCAACATAGAAAGCATAGCAAAGGCAACTACGCAGGACTCCAAATATCCTCCTCTTAGCTGAATGCTTGAAAGCAGTAGTGCTCTCTTTACAGTCATACACAGCCAGAAGACTTAAGTGTCTAAATTCAACCCAATTCCACCCTGGTCAAGCCCTTGAAAAACAGTTAATACAAATGCTAGATGGGTCATCCCCTTGCTTTACTGCTTTTTGTGAGTGAGTCTTTAAGGTTAAGATGATGGCCTGTTACAAAGATAGCTGCATTCATGATTTTACACTTTACAGGGACTTGAGCAGGGTGGAACAGGATCATACTTAGTTGCAAAAAGGTGGAACAGGATTGGGCTCCAACCTTCTGAAATCCAGCCATTCATGTAGCATGTGAAAATGCATATAAATTATTATTTTAAATGGGAAAAAATGTTTTTTTCTTTAGTCACCCCTGCTCAAAGAATTAATTTTGTTTTAAATTATCCCCAGGGCCCCTCAAACAGCCAATACCTAATGCTTTTAAGAAATACAGAAAATTTCAGTGTAAAAAATGAATTGCCTAGAGGGACAAGATTGTGCATAAAAATAAGCGGCTAACACAAAATGCTATTGCCATCCTATCAGCGCCGTCACCAAGAGCACAACATTGAATGCTCTTCTGTTTTTTTCATCTTCAATGTGTTTTCCAAACATTATTGAATAATTGCTAAGAATGACAACCTTAACAATGAATTTACTGTCACAGCCTCATAAACCTAACATTTTTTATCTGCTTTGCCTTTAAATTACAACAATGTATTTTAAAATACAATATTAATAACTTAACAAATAAAAGAGCTAGTGCTGACAGCTGGCTGAGTGGATTCTACTTTCCCCTAGAGCTCCAGTGGGACCTCTGTTTCATCAGTGGCATTCTTCAGAGTTACAAGCTCCATTGGCTAGGCTAGCATAGATTTTTGGATCCTAAAATATAATTCCAAAAACAAGTCAAAGTTTGTACTGGATATGAACAGAACCATATTTAAAACTGCTTGGGAGCTGTAAGCATTAACAGTTGTACTTGCTGACCTTCTAAGCAAGCAGAAAGCACTAGCTTTAACTGAGAAGCTGCTAATACTTGCAAGCTCTCCTGGCATGCAAATCACAGAAGGGAGCAGCTGGCATATACTGTCCTGACTCCATCAATGGCAAGAGACACCAACTCAGGCTCTGAGATCCACATTTTTATATATATCTATATATATCAGAGTGCAAAGTACAGAATGACCCAATGCAGAATATAAGGACTCTAGTGAAAACCAGGAAACACCTCCAAATTTTATCTTGCTCTACATCATGCACCCGTATCCCAGTTTCTGAATGTTATGAAAGTAGAGAGAAAGATTTCCAGAAACCTGGAGCAGGGTATTGGGCCTTTTGCTGCTCTGAAAGATGGAGTAGTTTTACTAAGAAAGATCTACCCACTCATTTTCATAGTTTCATAGTTTCTAGGGTCGGAAGGGACCTGAGAAGATCATCTAGTCCAACCCCCTGCCATGACAGGAAAGAGTACTGGGGTCAAACGACCCCAGCAAGGCGTCCATCTAACCTCTTCTTAAAAACCCCCAGGGTAGGAACCTGCACCACCTCCCTTGGAAGTTGGTTCCAGACCCTAGCCGCCCTGACTGTGAAATAGCGCCTTCTGATGTCTAACCTAAATCTACCCTCTGCTAGCTTGTGACCGTTGTTCCTGGTCACTCCTGGCTGTGCTCGGGGGAACAGTGACTCCCCCAGTGCCTTCTGATCCCCCCTGACCAGTTTGTAACAGGCCACAAGATCCCCCCTCAGCCTTCTCTTGTGGAGGCTGAACAGGTTCAGGTCCTGTAGTCTCTCCTCATAGGGCCTGCCCTGCAGTCCCCTGATCATGCGAGTGGCCCT